TTTGCTATTTTACCTATCCGAAACTTGTGGGACTGGATTTTGCACCATATCTGACGTCATTGTGACATTTATGTCATTTCGACATTATCCATAACTCTTTATCAGCCACCCGTGGGAATCAGAAAATCAGTCAAAGAAAAGAAAGAATCAGAACCAGAATCGAAAAGTTTTGTATGGGGCTTGTAAAAAAAATGACATTGACATTTAAAACGTCACAGCGTTATCTGCTATTTAAAATTGGTGGGACAGAAATTTTGTATTTTATCTGACGTGACGTCATATTTACACTATCAGGGCCTCTATCTACCACCGGTGGGACAGGCCCTAAGTCTCAGTAACATTGACGTATATTTTCATAAGGATCACGAATATAAATGTTAGTTTTTGAAACGTGTTCTTAATTAATTCTAGGTACTCAAAAACCAGTCTCAATGGGCTTACGTTCGTTTCATGATAAAATTTAATGTTTCTGTATTTTAGGGTAATACGATGTTAATTAAAGTTATAGTGAAATACGACCCAATCGCGGCGATACATAATGCTTGTTGGAGAATTAAAATAACTATATTAAAACTTGGAAAAGAAATTAAGTATTTTTTTTATTTTGATTAAGCTAGTCTAGATTTAAATGGGCATGGGTTTTGGGTCAAATACCATTTTTTAAGACTGGACATTCCAAGATCAGTATTTTAATGAAAACAAAAAATATAACATTCTTAGTTTTATATATCTTTGCAAAATAAATTTTGTATGAGGTTGTGTTTTATCGCTTGATAATGCTAATATTATGTAATATTCTTCAGTTGGTATCGTACATAATGGATACAAATTTACATGCAATTTGTATCTCTTCATAATTCAAAATTGCTCGTGTCTTGTTTTTATATGGTAATATAGCCTTGAATAAACAATTGGCTTTTGCTATCTTTCTGTTTACATATATGTTTTTAAAACTTTTTTATTTTCATATTTATTTTTACTACTTGAAAGTCATCCATAGATTATTTTATAAAACTTGGTGTAACAGTAAAAGTAGGCTGGTTAAAACAGTGGTGGCCAAGATCTTTAATAATCCGAGCCATTTATTAAACTTAAGACTATTCGCGGGCCGCAATTCTAACAGTGATAGAGCCCGCTTTAACATCTTCGCACGAATGGGTCGGCTCGCCCCCAGCAATACCACGACCATACAATAGACAGGCGTGAAGTAAAAGCAATTCCGCGTTTCGTCTGATAAGTGTGGTGCCGAAGGCCCAATTTTCCAACTTTCCCGGTCCACCTTTTTCAATTAAGGATTGGATGGGAAAGTTGATTTGATGGTGGAGGAGACGCATAGGAAGGGAGAATATTCTCTTTATGTGCCTCTCCTCCTCCGTGGATTTAAGGTAGGCAACGCATTTGCAATTGCGAATGTCTAGGGGAAGCGGTCGCTTCGCCAATTTGGCGGATTTACGTGGCCGCTTGCTTGTTTGCCACCTTTTTGTTTCATATAAAATATAAAAGATATAAACAACGAAAATTAAATTTGTTACAGAATACTACTGAGTTTTTCATAAATTTTTTTATCATTTAAGTTTGTCACTTTGGAAACCCGTGCTTTGTATTAAAAGATATTGCCATCCCTCTTATTCTCTTTAAAACGACAGAGACTAAATAGTATTTATACAGGTGTTACTACAGTTAAAATTCACTGTAAAATCTGTATTGGATTTGTTTAGTCCAATTTTTCAACCAGAGCTGAAAGCTTAATTAAGCTCGGGCTTATTATTTCTGAATAATCTTGCTCCGGCAATGTAATTAATCCCCGATTGTGCGCCGTTGTAACGTAATTAACTGTTTCGCGACAATATTCGATGTGTTGCTTGTGCGAGCAAACGCGGGCGAAATTGTGACGTCAATATATGTACATTTATTTTGCCTATCAGTTACATGTGTTCAATTTATTTATAGCGAAATAAGTATATCGAAAATGCTAACTAGGTATTTAATTTTGAGGAGTACCTAAAGAATACTAGAAAATTATTTTAAATAAATACTTACATTGTAAACCTTTTTTTTTTTCATTAATACAATTTAAAGGTGCGACGCCTACAAACCACGTAAGTGGTTTGGCGGGAATGTGGTATAAAACCATATTTTCATATTTTGGAAATAAAGAATTAAAAAAATCACCATGCCTGTACTTTAGGAAATCCTCCCTACAAGTACATTTGAAGTGAATATCAAAGTTCGAATGCCTGAGTGAAAATTCCGTTGGCCCTTGTATTTAAAACAAGTAACAAATAAATATCTAAAACAGGCATCTAAATCTTAGTACAATAAAACAAACTATTGACATTGCCGTGGGAAAATAAATGTCTGTTGTGAGAATATTTCATATTCATAGCTATGCTAGAAACGTGAAATGAACGTCGAATTGATATTTATATCCTCTTCAATATAGAAGCCAGTCGATATTGCTATATTTGTAACAAAGCAACTGAAAAGCATTTGTTGGGACGTAGGTACGAGGATTTCACGTTTTGTCGTAGAAAAAATAGAAAGTTCTTATTATAAAAATAATAAGATATGCTTTTACTGTTTTAAAAGCACGTTAATCCTCATTGGCAATTTAAAAGTACTTTCTAAGTTACTTTCAATTAATTTTATACTTTTTAAGTTATCAGCTGTTCATATACGACTTTTATTTCTACTTTGTTAGTTCTATTGTACGTATTCTGTTAATGTATCCTTAGCATGTCAATTCTAATGCCGTTGTTAAATGTTACGCCATGTTATTTCCTTATCTTACCTCGTTTTTAATATAACAACGACATACAGACGATGGAAATAATGATTGTTTCTTGCCCTTGAATGATGCACGAATTGAAGTACAAATATTTATTTGTCGATTAGAGTATGGGGCGAGATCTTCCGTCTATTACTTTAACCTCCAAATTCCTCTGTTTTATTCCCTTTATGTTAATAAGATATACTTAAGTTATTATTAATTACAAATATAATTTTATGATAAACTAGCTGTTGCTCGCGACTTCG